GATTCATAATAACGAGATTTTAATTGTTTTATCTCAGTTAGATTATTACTTTTGTTATCGGCAACATTATTGTTGTTGTTATTGCTGGAAGCGGGTGAAGGATGTTCCATCGAAAACAGATTTTATTAGTCGATAAAACAATAAAAATAAAAAGGGGGGAAATGCTATTTAAATAAGTATAAATTGCTTGTTACACTGAAAGTGAGTTGAAAAAACAAATTGTGATAACTTTAGATTATCTTTAATTGATTAATTTGATTAAAAACCATAACAAAAAAGGTTTTGGATGCAGTAGATCTTTTGTGTATTTACACGTGAAGATTCATGAATATCACCTGAGTTTTTTTTTAAAAAAAATACGTGGAACGTTGTTAATTGTAGCCAAAAAAAAAATCTTTTGGAGGCTGAATTAGAACAATAGCCTTTAATTCTTTTTTTTCTCATTAGGAAAAATTGATGAAATGGTACTTCCCGTGGTATGACTTTTAAATGCGTCATAATGATTAAAAGGCAATGGCATGTTAATGATATCATGTTATTTATTGAATTAAAGAAAAAATGATATAAGAAACCTTCTATAGCCCATTTTTTTAGGAAATCAAATAAAAAAAATATGGAATCTAACAAGACATACAATCCGTTGCCCGATTTCGATAGTGACGATTTACCAATTGGTTACGTTGGCGCAACGATGATGCCAGGTAAGATCGAAATTTATTGAATGTCCGACGCAAGCTCATCTACTAAATGACAAATTTTTAGGTCCAATCATCTCACTTCCAAGGGAACATGATAAAGTAAGACATGTCGGTAAAGATAATCAACCTGATACCGGTTCGTGTGATGAAGTTAAGAAGGAGACAACTGGAGATGATACAATTAAAGAATATGAAAAACCATCCTATGTTCATGGTGCAAAAGATAGCGTTGCTGGATCTTTGAAGGTAATTTTGATTTTCGTCGCGCGTCTTTCCTTTCACGCGTGTTAAAATAATTTTTTATTTTATTTTTTTTTAATAAAATAGGAAGCCATCGGTTATGCTGCGAAGAAGAAGGAAATGGTAGATAAGGGAAGAGAACAAAAAGAGAGCGGAAAACGTGAAGTCAAAAATTCTCGACAAGAGGATATATATGATAATAAATTTGAGTAATCCGTAGTCGATGAATGTCTATGCTGCGGCACAACACTTTTGATCGCAGATAATTTGTTCTTACCATTTTGATTCATTGTCAAAAATCATTTGTCATTCTTTCCTTATTTTAGGAATGAATAATTTTTACAAGCAATTCTCTTCTCCAAAAAAGAATTAACGTCTTTGTAACATTTTACCTTCTTTAAAAGTACACTTTCTCTAGCCGAGTTTTTCCGAACAATTAATTGAAAAGATCACGAGAACAAATGAAAAACCTTTTTAGTTTTCATTCCTCCTCCATTCATTTCACTTCCTATTTGGTACGCTTCCATTGTTATATTCCTTATCAAAAAGATATATCAGGATCCAAAGTTCATTTGTATCTTATCTAATGAAAAATGATTAGATAAAAAAAAAATAAAATAAAATAAAGTTTTAAAGTACTTGCATATCTTTGATGAAATAGTCTAAATTTCAATGCATCATCCGCGAAAGTAGAAATTCTTGTAATTACATAATTTAACAAGATTGTAATGAGAATTTCTTTTTGATCCAACTACTTTAAATATATTCTTATAATAAATAACATTTGACCAACATTACTAAACTTATTCATTCATTACACATGAATTGGTTGTAATTTGTAATTTGCTACAAGAAATTTATTATGTGTTTCATTTTAAAATATTTTTTGTGTAATGGCAAACTTTTATCCAACTATTAAGCGAACCAGTAAGAATGTTATTGAAAGATTTTCCTTTTATTATCAAGAACAAATTCTAGTTTTTTTTTTTTCAGCCTTTAAAAAAAAAAAAATTTTTTTTTTTTACTTTTTTTATTTTATTTCAAAAAAAAAAACACTTCATAGAAGTGTTCATTTTATGACATTTACAGAACTTTAAAAGATAATTAAAATTCTATAAAAATTTCCCATTTCACATTTTTTACATTTTTTAAAATACATTGTTTTTTCCTTTTATACTCTTTATAAATAATAAAAAAAAAAAAATACGATATTTATAACAAATCCGATGATTTTTTTTCGATTTGTGATTTATTCTTATTCTATATAAAGTAAGGCATTTTATCTGGATTTCAAAAATTGTGTTGCCCAAATCTTTTTTTTTTTTTCATTTTTTTTTTTTTTTGACGATCAAAAAAAAATTTTTTTTTTTACTTATAAACGCAAAGATTATATATACTATATAATACATACTCTTTTATACCTTGATGTATAGAAAAATGGGAATAAGTTTGGAAAATACAAAACGAAATCTCCCTCTGGGTATAGAACTTTTACCTGGTGAAACTGTTGAAATATTAGAAACGACGACCTCAATAAAATTATTTGAAGCAACCGTCGAAGGGGGATTTACAGAATGTGGTGATGTTGGTATCGGTGAATTATACAACTTGACGGATATCATCAATGAGGTATTGTAATTTGAATCGATGTTAGCTTCTTTTTTTTTTTTTTGTTACGATTTTTTATTTTTCATCTTATGCATTTTTTTTTTTTTGAAATTTTTTTTTTTCTTTTCGAATCCCGAATTATGATCACGAAAAAATATTAGTCCACGATGTTAGTTACCAATTATCGAATTTGCTATCAACCAATGAAAAATCTTTCAAAATCTTTATACTCTTCTACATCATCAATGTCATCAATAGTAGAAACAAGTCATCCACGTACAGTACAAATACCACATTTATCAATTGCTCAAATTGATGAATCACAAAAAAATCAGATCATTATATCACTAAAACTTTCCCCATTAAAATATTTGATTAAATTTTCTAAACCAAAACCAAAACCTAGTAATAATAATGGTAATGGTCTTATTCACAATAGGGCAAATGCAAATTCTTTGTGTCATGACTTTTCTTTTATATTGAAGAAATTTATTAGACCAAATAGTATCGAAAGTGTTTTCGCGTTTCGCATGGGCGAAAGTGAAGTTAAAAATAATAATGATGATGATAATGAAAATGAGGAGATCAAAGTAAAAAAAAGAAGACAATTAACTAATGAGGAAAAAATTTTTGAAGAGCTTTTTGGTGGAATTAGTAGTGAGGAAGAAGTTGATGATGATTTTTTACGGAGAGGATTAGATAAAAATGTTTACAGGCGATATCATAAACTAGGATGGTCTAATGGTTATAAAATTCAAAAAGAATTTGGGAGGATGCAAATGAGCAAAGATTCATGGTGAGTGAAAGAAAAAAAAATTTGGTAATGTTGGCTTTTTTTTTTAATCCTTTTTTTTCTTAATGTTAAAAATTTCTTTCAGGAGCATTGCATCATATAATGATGACTTTTCGTTGTCGCCAACTTATCCAAAGGATTTCATTTTACCTTCCCGTATCCTTAAAAAGGATGCAATATTTGCATGCGAGTCTTTTGATACAAGTGCAAAGAGTGATTCTTATGAAATTTCAACAGCATTACAATCGAGCCCTGAATTTTTCCAAAAACTTGTAAAATTTAGAAAAAATGGACGATTTCCAATAATTTGTTGGAAGAGAGGTCATCACGTATTAATGAGAAGTGGCCAACCAATGGTTTCAATATTAGGTTGGAGAGGTATAGAAGATGAATTATTAATAAAAGAGGTGCTTAAAGCAGTTAACGAAGAACAACAACAACATATAGTTAATATATCAAAATATTATTCAAGTAAAATTAGTAATGGTAAATATGATAAATTCCCTCATAAAAAATATAATGGATTACAAGAAAAGTGTACAAATACAAAAATTTGTATTTTGGATGCAAGAAGTTATTCTGCTGCATTTTCCAACGGTTTAGCTTGCGGTGGATATGAAAAATGTGAAAATTATCCACCAAATACGACATTGCAATTTCTTGGCCTGTCAAACATTCACGCCATTTCTGCTTCACATTCATCCTTATTAAGTGCTATCGCAACTCATGCTTCGTCCTCTAAATGGTTCTCAGTATTAGAATCTACTGGTTGGTTAGGTCACGTTGCTGATTTGTTAAAAGCTGCTGGAGGGAAAGATGGTGTCGTTGGAAAAATCGTTGAAGAAGATGCAAGTGTTTTAGTGGTACGTATAAAAGGTATTTTGAGAGTGAACTATAATTTCTTTTTTTAAAGAAATATTCGTCATAATAATTATATCATTTTTTTTCCTTTTTTATTTTCTCTTAGCATTGCACGGATGGTTGGGATAGAACGACTCAATTAGTGTCTTTGTCACAAATAATGTTGGATCCATTTTACCGAACTATAAAAGGATTTCAAGTATTAATAGAGAAAGAATGGATCGCGCATGGACATCCATTTAGAGCACGTGGTGACCTTCCAACAAACATTCGAAACGATGATTCTCTAATTACGCCTAGAGAGGAAGAACAATCATCAACGAGACCAAATTGTCAACAGCCACTTGCAGTGCAATCAGCACCCGCACCAGTGTTTCTTTTATTCCTAACATGTTTGCATCATTTGCTACAGCAGTTTCCTTCGTCATTTGAATATAATGATTTTCTCTTGTTATGTTTGGCAAGAGCTGCAGCAGGAAATTCGCCTTATGGTGATTTTCTTTGTAATTCCGAATGTGAAAGAGAATATGTTCGATTAAGAGAAAGGACGAAAAGTATTTGGTCATGGGTTAGAGAACATAAACAATGGTTTAGAAATCCAAGGTATGATCAAAATACCAAATATGATAATCAAAATAATATTGGCGTATGGTTTGATGATAAATGGAAAAAGGAAGTTTTAAGACCCGATACGGGAGCTAGGTTCATCACTTTATGGAACGAATATTATTTTCCCAAAGATAATTTTTCTATAACGTTATTATCAATCCCTCCAGGCTATGAAATACCTTTCCCTACTGGATTGGTCGCAACTTCGAGATCATGTCATTCTTCTGAATATGCACTTATTAAACTTTTAATGAAAAGTAAAGAGAGAAGAATTGCCGAAAAGGTTTGGAAGATTTGGAGATCTTTTGTATTAGAAAAGAAAAACAATCAATTATTATCAATTAAAAAACTCGACGGTGATGATGATATAAATAATGTTGAAAATGATGAGATGGAAGTTGAATTGATGGGAGCTTCGGTTTGGCATGATTCGAATATTGTGGTGACGGACAAGAAGGATATAAGCAAGCAATCTAAAGAAAATAGTATTATTGATGATAATGCGGAATCAAAATTCCTTTTGGTCATGTCACCAGAAAAATCCAAAATTCACGATAATCATCATAAAAATTATTTTAATGTACCTTCACCGACATATTTATCTCCATCGCTGAGTGAATTATTACCAGCAAAGGAGGATTATTTTTCAGAAGAGGAAGAGCCAAAACCCGTTTATCCTGCAAATAAAGGGGAAGAAGAAAGAAGTTCATCATCACCACAGCAATGGGTTTATTTATGTAGACAAAATCAAAAACTTGATGATTCAAAAGATTCATCACAGACGTTGGCTGAATTACTTAAAGAAGCTCAACTAGATGATCATTATTTATGCCAAAGTAAATGTCGTGACTCTAAAATAATAGTTGATTTGTTAACAGAAGCCCAATTAGATAATGATTCCTTACTACCGAAGCAAAGAAATATATCAGCCAGTAGCAATCCTTTATTATCGAAGCAAAGAAACACGTCGGCTAGTAACAATTCTTTATCATTGAAACAAAGAAATATGCCAACTAGCAATATTTCTTTATCATCGAGGCAGAGGCACATGTCAAATATTGATGACAATTCTTTATCGCCAAAGCAAAGAAACGTGTCAACTAATGATAATAATTCATTACCTAAACAAAGAGAGATGTCAACCAATAAAGGAATTTCACCTACTTCGCCTTCAAGAAATTGTAGAAATTCTATTCGTACAAACCATTTTACGGAACCCAATTGTGATTTAATTTCAAATGAAATTAATTCCAATATTGGTTTAAATTCTGTTGAAAACGATCTCACCGAATTTGTATTAGTTTAATAAGTATTTTTTGGTTTTTTTTTTGATTCGTTTTTCTTTTAAAAAAAAGGTTTTGTTAATTTATTTTTTAATTATTTACTTAATGGACGGATGAAATAAATTGGTGGATGAATGAAATTGATTTTTATTTTATCGGTATTAAAAAAAAAAGTATATTATATTTGTTTGTAAATATAATTATTTATTTATAGACATTGGGTTTTGCCAATAATCTCAGCTTTTCTTTTATTTTGACTTGGTTTATTATCATTATTTTATCACAATAAAAAAAAAAAATTGGATTTGTTGAAAAATTTACACATCTTTACGTTATGTGACATTTAAATCTTTGTACGTTTAATAATGAATCTCAAAAAAAGATAAAAAGTTCTCGAGTCCAAAAGTTTGTTGACATTTATAATGAAAATTGGTGACCGTCGTAAATTGGGGGATTTTGCAAAGACTCAATTTGGTTTATTTTCTCACGCATTAGTCACGCCTAGTGGATTGACATCTTGTGAGCATAATATATAAGACGATTTGATTTGATTGGCTATTTGAGAATAATTTATTTTTTTTCAAAATATGGACACTTCAAGATTTTTAAGAAAGGAGGTTTGTAATAATGAATGTTTATGCTAATAAACATGTCATTTACATTTCTTCTTAACTTGTAACGGTTTTACAGGAAGAAATAATTCGAGACTTAAAATCGGAATTGTATAAACGTGAATTAGAATTGGAAGGGGTTAAAACTTTGAATGAATCATTAAAAAATAAAATTACACTTATGACCAACAATGAAATAGAATTGGAACACTTAAAAAGAGAAAGTGCCCGATTAAGAAATGAATCTGTGAAAAGCCATCAAGAAAAAGATGACGTAATGAGTTTAAATTATACTCTTAGTGAGCAAGTTAAAAATTTACAGGAAGAAGTAAATAATTTGAAAATTGGAAGAGTTGTAAATACTGAAGGTGGGTTAGTTTGTGGAAAAGTAGATGAAGGATGCGTTAATAGTTTATTCTACTGCGAAAGAATCAATGGATCAATTTTGCTTATAAATTCTGCTATTTTTATAGAATTAGTTCATCATAATGTTAGGTGTGATTCATGCAGTGAAATTATAAAAGGGTTTCGTTATAAAGTAGGTATGTTTACATATACATATATATTTGTATGAGAAATAAATTTTATTTTTTCTATTTAGTGTGGACATTGCGCGGATTTCGATCTCTGTGCCTATTGTGTAGGATCAGAACATAATAACAATCATGTATTTTTAAAAATTCGAAATCCTATATTTATTGATTCAAGAATAATTTTATTACCACCTTTTAGATATCGTAACCAAGGTATATTTATTTTGATTTTATTTGATTTGAAAGTATTGATGTTTATTATCCTATTAAAAGACAAATCCTTTTTTTTTTTTAGGTAGTATTCATGAAGAGGTTGGTTGTGATATTTGCGGACAGAATCCAATTCATGGGATCAGATATAAAGTAAATAAAGATTTCTGTTTCTTTTTCCTTTTTTTTTTTAGAAAAAAAAAACGTTCATTTTTAATTTAATATAACGATATATATATATTCAATTTTGGTAGTGCGGACAATGTGCAAATTTTGATATATGTAGTAAATGTGAAGAAAATATAAGTGAATCACATGATCAATCCCATCTATTTATAAGATTAAATAGACCAATTCGTACAGAAGCTAGGTTGGTTTCTATACCACTTTTACCAAATTTTCTTCCTGATGTATGATATATGGAATTATAGTATATATATATATATATATATATATTTTGGTTATTTTTAAACTGTTCATAAATGTTAATTATTTGTAGCAAATATATATATCTTTATAATAAGTTTAATAATAGTATTAAAATTTTTGTTATCCCTTAAATGTTAAGAATTTTATCTAAATTTGATCATAATCCAAATAATTTATATACTAGTTTTTATAATTATTTTTTTTAATTAATATTATACAAAATTTTTAATAAATTTAAAAAATAGTAATATATACTTTAGATATTATTAAAAAATATATATAAATATTAAATATTCGCGTTTATATAAAAATTATATATTATTACTTTATTAAAAAGATAAAAAAATTGTTAAAAATAATAAATTGATCTTATTTTAATAACTTTAAAATCTTAAATCACTTTTAATAATATAGATAAAATTATTTAGATTTAAATCTATATTACTTTAAATTTAATTTTAAATTCATATTTAAAAGTATATAATATTTTTTATAATAATATTAATTCATAAATTTATTTTTTTATTTATTTCAAAGTATAATTTAAAAATTTTAGTCATTTTAAATTATTTTAATAATCTAAATTAAGTTATTTAATAAGTTTAAAACTATTTAATTTAAATTTTTATTAAGATTAAATCAATATTCATAAAGTAATTAAACTATTATTTTATTCAAAGTAAATTACTTTTAATATTCTAAGTAATATTTATTTATTAAGTTTTTATTATATAAATCCAAAATTTTATTAATATTAATTAATAATTATAAAATAAATAATATTTATAAAAAAAACTAATTTTAAATAATTTTATTTATATTTTTAATAATACATATAATAATTTTATATAAAATAATATTTTTAAAATAAGTTTTATAGTATTTTTTAGACTTTACTATTGATCGCTAGTAGTGGTATCACAAATTTTCTTTTTAAATATTTATGTAATCTTATTTAAATTTTTATCAAAATTAAAATTTCCTTTTAAAATTATGTAATATTATCTAACTTTTTAAATAAGAAAATTTGACTAACATTATAGCCAAAACCATAAATTTTGACTAAAAATAAATATGTGATAAATAAAATATGATAAAGTAATAAATTATTTATTATTAAAAAATCACATAATATCAGTGATAATTATCACTAGTGATCAATAGTAAAGTTTTATTTTTAATAAATTAAGTTTTAAAATCTGTTAAATTTTATTAATAAATTTGCTTATAATATTATACACTACTATAATTATTAAATATATTGAAAATAATGCTATTTCAGTTAGTCTTACAACAGACCTTTAGACAGCAAAGAATCATCAAGTATATCTTAGTGTAATATATTCTTTTTTGGATGCAGAATTTAATTTACATAAAATTTTACTTATTGTTACTTATGTTTGCTATCCACATATTGCAAAACATATTAATGATACATTACTTGAAATTCTTGATGAATGATTATTACGTGAAAAAGTTTATATGATAATAACTGACAATAGATCTAATATGCAAAAAGCAATAGAAGATATGAATTCAATTTCTTTAAATATAATGTGATAACCTTATACTGCTCATACCTTACAATTAGTAGTTGAAAAGGATCTTGCTTGTATTAAACTTTTTATATTAAGAGCAAAACGTCTTATTGATTTTTTTATAAGACTAAAACTATCTGAACATTTAGAAAATATACAAATTACAATTCAAACACAAAATAATATGATAAGTATTCATTTTACTTTTAAAAATATAAATTTATTTATATATTATCATTTCTATTATTTAAAATTGTAATAATTAATTGTTAAATATTAAATAATTTTTTTATATTATATTTTATTAGCATAAATATTGTTTATATATTTATTTTTTATTAAATATTTTTGATATATATATTGATAGGTATAATTATTAAAAAAAAATAATTACAAATAGAATTTATTTTATCTTTAATAATGGATGCATTTAAAATATATTTTAAAAATATTATTTTTAAATTTTTATATTAAAATATAGATTATAAAAAAAATTTAAATTTTTTTATGATTTCTAATAAAAAACTTTAAATTTATTATAATTCAGTTATTTTTTTTGATTTTTTTATTAATAATTTACCAAATATTCTATTTAAATTATTTTAATATTAAATAAAAATAATTTATTAATATTTTATTTTAGAATTCTGGTGAAATAAGTCAATATCTTCTACATTGTATCAGAGATATGGGAGGGTTTTTAGGAAAATCAGGTTCCGAGAAATTTTTGACTTAAATTAAGAGCTTAATACATTTTAATCTAATAATATCAAAAACT